CGTAACAATTCTCATATTGTAACAAACATTGGATAAATACTCTAAAAGGCGGCCAATTTAGAATTTGAAAAGTGCTGGTTATAAAATATTTAGTTGATACGTTATTTAAAATTATCCACCGAGATTACCTTTATATTAAAGCGTAGTTTAGAGAATCGCGAAAGTTTCGGTATGGTGATTTGATAAGTAAAATGTTATTGGTCGGTATGTAGTACAAAATGTTGTGTTACCGAAAATTTTTTATGGTGTTGTTGGGGTAGTTCTATCAGTATTGCATCTCACATGATTTTGATTATATTATATTTAATTTCTTATCGTTATATTTTTATTTTATTATTCTTATATTTTATTTACTTCTTTTGCTCTTTACTGTATTTATTATGTATCTAATGTATATTATCTTGAGTTATGTAGATTAGTTATTAGCTTCAAATATCTGTAGTTAGCATGTATAAAATAGCCCCGATATATCCTTTTGAATCGGTGTGCTTTCACTTGGCATTAATTAATAAAGAGTAATTGTGTCTTCATACGCGAATAACTCGAAGCTTTATTAAATAAACAGTTATACGTCTAATTGTATCTTATATATTTGGTCGTTTGCCTCTTTCAAAATTGCAAATCACATTAGATCCTCTTGAATGTTAGTATTGATTTATTAGCACTATACACATATTTTACAAGACAAACACGAGACATTCGTTTATATCGTCTTCAGTTATCCCGTACTAAAGAGGTAAAACCTATTAACGTTAATATCTGGTTTAGCATGACTACGTCGCGCCATTACTTGTTAGCATAATCAGATCATAAAATATTACAACTTGAGGTGAAAGGTCGCAACCTTCCAACTCCAGTAAACCTATCATGGCGGGCAATCTTATCTTGAAACAAAGATTAAGTCATCGATCTTTTATTGAATTGAAATAAGAATCATATTCCAATGTATTTTTTCTAATCCAACCATTTAATTACTCATCCACATTTACATCTTTCATGATAGATACTATAGGAGTAGCTTTAAAACACAGAACATTTTGTCTTAACGTTATCTTGCTAGGATTTAGCAAACTTTTAATACATATATTACATGAGCTGCCATGATAAAATGTAATAACGTAATAAATGATGAGTTAAAAAAGCATGCGATATAGAACAAATTATTAGTTAAGGCAAAAATCCGAGTTTCTGATTCAAAAATTTCATGTTGAATATTTACACTTAGAAGCTAGTTTACGCATATGCATAAGCATCCATTGCTAACCCAACTTGTAAAGTACTGAACACCACACGCATGAATAACGTGCTAGATTGACATGTAACCTTTATTATATTTAAGAGAATCGAGTTATCATTTCTATAAAACCCAAAAGAAATAGAAAGAAAAAAAATGTACGTACGTGCATATGAATTTATTCTAGGAAATTCGGTGGTATTAGTAAAAAAATTGGCTCATGCTAACGTTATTTGGACCAAATAATTTATTTTTTAAGGTAGTGCAATCTTAACGTTAATGTTAAATTGTTATATAATTATATTTTTGTATTCTTTAAGCACTTTACTAAGTTTAATTTCAGCAAAATAATTCAACTAAAAAACTATATTTAGAATGTTTAAATAGATGCAATTTTTAAATTTTAGTTCCATTTCCATTTGGAAGATAACGATAAATAATATCGGATCAAATCGGAAAATGTTTGACGTATACAAATTCTGATGTAATAATTTCATGAAATTCCTATATAAGGAGAGGAAGTTTTTACTAGAAAATTCTCGTCCTCCCTATGTAAGGTAAAAGAAATTAATGTTAACTAGAATTAAAAAATATAGCTAAATTTAGAATCCAAAGCATATTATCCTTTTTTAAGTCGACCACTATCCCAGCAACAATTCTCGCTCTTTCACAGACAAATCATCCAAAGATGCAATTTTCCATACCGATATTACTAAAATCTTGGTTTTCTTCAACTTCGAGGAGTCTAAAATATTCAAATTTGAATTTTCATGTGTCTGACAATGATCAAAGACTCGATAGAAATAATGAAGAATACGTTCCTTACCATTCTTCATTATTAAATGATAATAGACAAGATGTAGATGTAGAAGACGAAAATACTAGATTACTAAATAGACATACACGTACTTTCGATACTCTAGAAGATGCAAGGGATTATCGTAGTTTGATGAATCTCGGAAAGTCGACTGTTAGGCAGACGATTGTCAACACGGTGGTACGCAAAAAATATTTTTTGTAAATATTAAAATGATTATTACAAAACTTTCAATTAATTTAAATTTCAAATTTCTTTTTTTAAAAAGAATATATTGATGGGTATTGCGATATTGGCGTTGCCTTTGGCGTTTAAATATTCTGGATGGATTATTGGAATTTCCATATTTTCGTTTTGCCTTATATCAACCAATTATACCGCGCAAATTCTCAAAAAATGTTTAGATACTGATCCAGAATGTCTTACATATGCTGATCTCGCCTATTTGGCTTACGGTCAAAAAGGAAGAATTTTCGTTGGCTTTTTGTTTCTAATGGATCTTTATAACGCTGCGTAAGTTCTTTTATTGTCTGTTCTGAGTTTTATTCTTTTTATCTATTGCCAATTTAATTTCATTTATACAATACCAATATAATCAGTGTCGCATTGATGATTTTGGTTGGCGATTCTCTCAAAATACTTTTCCCTCAAGTGGATCTCACTAATTTGAAACTTATCGTATTTCTTGTTATTACCCCAATAACATGGCTACCAATTCATTATCTTTCTTACGCCTCAGTCCTTGGAATTTTTACTGCGTCTTCATTAGCTTTGGTTTTATTGATTGATGGTCTGACGAAATACGTTGCTCCCGGAAGTTTATGGCAACCTATGGATACTTATCTTTTTCCTCCAAATTGGATGGTCGTGCCTTTATCTTTTGGTCTTATTAATTCTGCCTTTTCTGGTCACGCTGTTTTCCCATCGTTATATCGTGATATGGAAAAACCTCATTATTATAAAAAAACTGTGAATTCTAGTTATTTGGTTGCTGGTGTTGTTTATTTTACTGTCACTGTTTGTGGTTATTTAATGTTTGGATCTAAGACGATGCAAGAAGTATGTTGTATACTATTTATTTTCTCATTAATTACTTTTTAAAAAATTATTATGTTATTATTATTGTTGTTGTTTTGTTGTTTACTTACCAACTAATACGGCGAATATATCTAATACATCTAATAATTAGATTACTCAAAACATAATGTCAACTCCTGGATACAGCCTTGTTCTAAATTCCATCGTAGTATGGTTGATCGTTATTAATCCTCTCTCAAAATATCCTCTCACTTTAATTCCGATTAATTTAAGTATCGAAGTAACTTTCTTTCGGATACATATGGGCGTTTTATCTAGGTCAAAAATTGTCAAATTTTTCTTCGTTATTATTTCAAGATCTTTAGTTAGTTTCATTATTATTGGAACGGCAATTGTTTTTCCCGGCTTTGATCGTGCAATGGTAAGCATTTATATCAAATTATATTATTTGCTTTCGGAATTACATTCTCATTAAATTAATTTATTCTTGTCTCGTTAAACCGTGCTGAAATTCTTTAAAAAAAGTCACTACTTGGTTCATGTTTCTCATTTTTAATATCCTCTATTTGTCCAATTTTATGTCATTTAAAAATGTTTGGTAGATATCTTTCAAAAAAAGAATTAATTTGGGATTTGTTTTTATTAGTTGTTTGTTCTGTCGTGGCTGTAATAGGAACTATTTGGACATTTTTACCAAGAGAACTATTGGATCATGACAATTAAGCAAATTAAGATTAAAAGTTAATGGAATAATCTATGCGACAAGTATTAGACTCTTAAATATATATATATATATATATATGATATTGCTTTTTTACTCACACTAAGGATGGATATTAATGAATATATTACATAAGAAAATTGGATTAAATAATAATAACTTTTAGATGATATTTAAATTATATCATATAATAAAGTACGTCATTTCGTGTTTAAAAAAAAAAACATAATTTGATATAATTTATTAAATATTAAAAAGAATCAATCCATATATTTATAGGAATAAAAAATGTGTCTGTTAGAATGTTTGATCTCAAATCTTCATACATACCAATTTTTATACATAGCTTAAGATTAAAGCAATAATTATATAGTTTAGATGTCGCGAAACTATTACTGGTTTTAGTGCAACTACGAGGAACCGTCAATGTTAACATGTACTACGTAGCGGAGGCTCAATGATAGATTACGGTGCCCGGAAAATGTACCGTTGATTATCAAATCACCTGAACTTAGAAATTACCGAACACCGAAGATCGTACAACCAAATAAAAATTACTACGGATTAACTATCGTAACACTAAAACATACGCGAAATTTTACAAATTAGCTTGGGAATATAATTTATTAAACAATAGTTAGATACAATAGCTTATTTTATTACAATAGCTTAACTTTATATTATTCGAAAATGTATAACGATAAAACATATTTAAACT